AATTTTCTGTGCCCTGTGATAAGGAAGATAATTCTAGGAATTGTTATATTTTTAATGGAAATGGTATGAACATCGACTGCCTGACCATGTACGATTAGTTCATATGTAGAGTATATCATATTTCGTAAAAAACGTGTGCTTGGTGCGTTTACGGTTTAAATGAACGCCCTGCGTTGAGTTTCGGCTTTCGCGAACTTAGTGCTCCATATCTATGCACTTAGGTTTTGATTCAAGCTTAGGCTTGACAAATATATCCAATATCTTAATTGGAACCGGCTCGATTCAAAACCGTTTCGACCTCTTGGCTGCTAGTTTTGATAGACACCGATTGAAACGCCCTTTTCGATACTCGTTTTCGATTACAGGGTATCACAAAATTGCGGCAATGACAGCAACCATGACGGCACAACAAATTGTTACCGACATGAAGGACCTGAAATGTGGCTGTTTTTCATATTTTCGTTTCTTTTTATTTTTTTGCAATTTATAAAATTTTAAAGTACATAACTCGCTGGCGTTGGCAAGGCGCTACCACGCCCACACGTTGACTAGCTAATGAGCTTGTCTGAGTGTGTGCGCGTCTGTGTCTCTGCTGTGTGTGTGTTTGTACCGCATGACGTATGCGCAATTTTCATTTATGTTCCGTTTGCTCAACTGTCTGTCAGTCTGTCAGTCTCTTGGCTAGTTCAAGCCCGCAACACGCACAAACTTGATCCCCAACAGCCACAACAGCAACAACAACAAAACCACAATAACAACAACAATAGCCACAACAACAACTATCAACAGAGCCAAGCTAAACTAAGCCAAGGAGCTGTGCCAGGAAACAGTTTTATTGGCTGGCTACGTTTGTCCTTTGGCGCTTGAAAATACTTTCATTCGTTTGCCCTATGCGGAAGGTATTACCATCATGTGACAAACTGTGTAACGCATAGAATGAGGTATACATCAATATAAATTAAAATGCTGTACTGATTGATTGATAGTTGATTAACGGACAGTCCAAGCCATTTTCTGTACGGTTTTGCTTAATTCCACCCAAAAATGTGGAAAATTGGTGAAAAGCGATTATATGCAACTTTGTTGCGCACTTGTGACAGGCGGTGGGAGCTAACGCGAGAAGATGAAGTAATTAAATAATACGAAAAAAATTCTTCAAATTAGTCTCGGTCTATACTTTGTTGTTATTGTCCGATCTTTTTGAAATTTTCGGGTCATATTAATTTCAGCTTTGGGGGTTGCGTGACCCCCTTTGACCTTATTAGCCCTTGTACGCTCCGATATATAGTAAATAACTGCATGTGGATAACGATTTTAATCGGTTTCGTGGAAACAGGGCGACTTATCGATGATTTATGTATAAACTCTAGAAGGATTGATGTGAAATGTTTCATATATGATCTTTCAAAGTCTCTGAAATCGAAGAGTATGAAAAGCACAGACCCACGAATGGACCTGGCTACAACGACTATATCAATTTGATTTGTTACATACATTTAAACAAAACCATTATAGCCCTTTAACCCCAGATTTATGGATGCAGGGTATATTTGTTATACAACATGCATGTTAGAGTATTTAATCTCAGGCTTGCCTTAGATAGTTGTTTTCCTTGTTTTTATTCTTTTTTCGCTTTTGTAGCTCATGAATAATGCATTCACAATTAAGCCTGTCGGGGCCAGCGAAGTAACCCAAAATCTGCTGGACTTTTATATCTTTTGCGTTCAGCTCATGCAGCTAACTGATTGTTGTTGTTATTATTTCAATTGAAGTTGCCTTGTTTTTAGAGGGAACTAAATTTAGCAACAAACGCAGCTAACTGACACAGAAAACAAAACAAAAAACAAGGGAGACTGCTCTAATTGAAGTGCTCGACTGGGCGATGCCCTATAGTGATTAGTAGCTGCGAGTTGCCATTACAAATATTAAATAATAAAAATGCCTTGCCTCAGTTAAAAACTATAGAAAATGCGTTCTTAAATAACTTCTCTGCTGATTTTCCGATCATTGTGCAATTTGCAGTACTTTAACAGGGCTTTAAATTTTGTGTGCAAGTACCAAAAAAAAAAAAAAAGAATCTATCTTACATTTTGGGGGAACGTATCCAAAAATTTAAATGTTCTTGCTCAAATTTACGAGAAGCTGCGTCCCAAAACAAATAAGCTTGAGATTGAAAATCGATATTAATCGAATATTGGAAAATAGGATACTTATCGAAATGCAAATGAGGCTGTCCTGCGTTTGATACACCAGAAACTACATTCCAAACTGAGATTGCGATCAGGAATATATATACAAAGGATCTGCTTTGTTGCGAAATACCCTTTCTAGCCAATTTCAATGGGCACCAGGATAACAAATAAAGCCCAATCTAAACTAAAATAGTCTACAGCATCCACAAATTAAACTCAACTCCCCTCTGACGCACGCATTGCCCTCCCCCAAAATGTAGTGTTGTTTTTAAATATCAAAGTTTAAACTCATAAAACGGCGCTTTGTGCTTTTCCAGCGAACAAAATCCACAAAACTAACTAACTAAAATTAACTTTGCGTTGCAATCAGAGTTTCAGCATTTGCTTTGGGTCTGCTTTTGAATTGGGTTTGGAGTCCGCCCATGGATGAGAGCAGTTCACATTGGATTTTGCTGCCAACAATTTGTGCAACTCCTGCGGCGTGTTGGTAAATATAATTTAGAGCCAAGTTGTGTTGACACTTGACCCGCGACAGCCACTGCTCTCCTGCCAGGCATGGCAGTCATTGCAACGGGCAGACTTCAGTTTCGCTTAGCATGACTTGACCAGCTCCCACTTAATATTTGAGGTACGAGAAGCAGCACAAATATGATAAGCACGTTCCCCAAACCCACACAACAAATACCAAAGAAAGTAGCTGTGGCCTTAATAAAAAACATGAATAATTCAGCAAAGGAAATGAAGCAAAAACCGATTTTTGATTAACTTGTGAAGGGCTCAACAAATCCTTTAAACAGAAGAAGTCGTAATCTTCTAACCAATCCATGGGTTCAAGGATGCTTCAAGAGAGATCCAAAGTATCCCAAAGGTCAAAGTGCGCAACAACACGAGAAGAGCTTTAAGCACTGTCATGAAGTTTATTGGACTTTTAAGCAGCTGAATTTCGCACAGTATTTACCGTAAGTCTGACAACACGAGTTTTCCACGAGCAAGAGTGGAACATTTGTGGAAACTGTTTACAATTTATTTATTTATTATACGCTGAACCCATTAAAAATGGGTTTAACGGTATATTGTATTTGTGCAAAATCCAAATGTATGTAACAGGCAGAAGGAAGCATCTCCGCCCCCATAAAGTATACGTATTCTTGATCAGCACCAATAGCCGAGTCGATCCAGCCATGTCCGTCTGTCTGTCCGTCCGTTCGTACATACGGTATGAACGCAAGGATGTCAGAACCTATTAGAGCTAGAGACTTTAAATTTTAGATGTAGGTGCTCCTAGTCCTGCGCAGATCGAGTTTGTTTCCAATAATCGATAACTTACTCCATTTCCAAGCAATCGATAAAAGTCGATATCGATATTCTGTTTTTTGGGCAATTTTGGTAAATAATAAGAGCTAGAGTCACCAAACTTGACATATCCCCTAGTCAGGAGCTCCCAAATAGAATCTCTTAATTGTTTTGTTTTAGAAAATGGTTGCTTGTAGTTTCACTCGCAAGGATGAAAAATTTTTGGCAAATAGAATGGTTGCATTTTGGCTTAATGTATTTCGTTCGATCGGCTTTAAATTTAGTTGCAATTAAGTGGAAAACGGTTGCATGGAACTTTAAATATTCCACGCTCGAGCGTAGAAAATTAGTGAAAAAATGTTGCATGCAAGTTTATTTATTGGTTTGCATTTGATATGCTGTAAATTTACTGTATTTTTATTTTTCAATTAAGAGGAAAATGGTTTTATGTTATTTAAATTTGTTTTTCATGCAATCGGCTTTAAGTTTTATACTAAAAACACAATTTATGAATGCATTGTTTCACACCTGTTAATTATTCGACTGCCCTTCAATGAAAAATAAGGGTCGAAGGACGTAAAAACTGAAGCTTAATTTATGTCCGATCGGGCTTAAAGAATCAAATTCATTTTAATAGGTATTTGTCAAATGTTATTTGAGACAATGGAAATGGAATTTCTTGTTAGTACGGCAAATTGAAACTGTCCCAAGAACTAAAATTGAGTTGAAAAGTTAACAATTTGCAAGGAAAATATGTTAGGGCAAAGCCGAATAATACATGCCAGTGCGATTCCTAGAAAAATAATCATTTTATATTCCCAGCAAATGAAAATACCAATTTCTTATACAATATTTTAAGCAGAATTTAAAACAAGCGAGAGGATTGGAAAATTAACTCAACAAGTTTGTTCGGAATTCCTAAAGTATTACGGCATTTAACACTTAAAATCCATAGCAGGGCATAGATTGAAAACAATCCATTCTAATGAATTCCTGTAAATTAACTAGTAAGACTTTTTCTGATAGAATTTCGAAATTGTGTCTGGTCTTCTCATTGGGGAGGCACATGTAATAAGCTTGTTAAACTGCAGCTTGAAGAGCAGCTAATTAGTTAAGTTCAGTTGCGGGAGGAACTCACGTGTTTTGCGGCTATCAACGTTGGTCAAGGGGGCAGCCACGAATGGCGATTCCTGGTCGCATGTGTCTTTATTTGCGGCAGGGCAAGAATCAAATGAAGATAAATGCGGGAACTCGAGTGTGGCGCGGTTGTGTCATCGGAAGCCGGAAAATCTCACGTACTCACACATGGCCGGCAATTAGGTGGACACACGTGCAAGGTGCACGCAACGCAGCTGCCCCTGGCAGCCGTGGCAGCGATGAAATTAACTAATTGCCATAGCGTTGGCAGCGAAGGGGAGCCAGTTGACAAGCTGACAGACATGGCCAGCAGCTATATACATAGATAGAGAGTGTGCCCCGAGCGTGTTGCAAGTGCCACATAAATTACATACGCACCTTTCCCAGGACAAACGACGCGGCGCCTCCTCGCCCAGGCCCAGCTCCGTATTCCTATTGCCCTGTGGCGCCTCCATAAAGAAATTGTCGCCGTGCAACATCGGCGGTGGCGGCAGCAGATTGGATCTTGATTGATGCAGCAATTTGGCCAGCCGCGTGAAGGTCGTATGCCCGCCACCCGAGCCGCCGCTGCTCTCCGCCATGGCAAAGTCGTGCAGTTGCTGGTGCGGATGCTGGTGTTCCCTGGACAGCGGCGTTGTTGCCTCCGAGCATGCGGTGGCACGTTTTTTGCCCCCCAGGCGATGTGAATAGCCGCGCGACGGCGCCACGGGATGCGGCGCGGGTATTCTGTGGAAAATTGTAAAGTCAAGTGATTATATAATATGGCTACAGGCGCGCAGACAGACAGGCAAATAGTTGCCCATATGTCACGTATGCGCAAGCACTGAAAGAAATTGTTGAGTAGGCTGCACATAGGAAACAAATTCTGAAAGCAAAAACTATTCGGAAAAGTGCCATAAAAAGTAAGTTATAAATTAATTTGTTTAAATTTTATATCAACTCAAACAATTTACGTTTGAAAATATTATTAACACTGTAGACGAGGTTTGTTAATGAAAAAAAAAAAGTTGGATATAGCTAATATCTATGGGTTTCGTTAAGACAAGGCTTCACTGTATAAGCAGCCATAACTATTTCTCTCAGTGCATAAGACAGGACTCTGATTTAGGCCTACCTGAGCAGAAGCGAACCATCCGCATGACACTCGAAATCATCCGACAGCTGATACATCGAACTATCGGCAACATGTTGCTGATACAGATGCAAATGTTGCTGTGCCACATGCTGTTGCATCGCTGCGTGTGCGGCGTGTGCGTGCGGCGAGCTGCCCGACGATTTGCGACGGTAAATCAGCGTGCAATCATCCTTTGGCAAATTCAATGATTTCACCATGAGCGTGTTGTTGTTGTTGTTGGTCAAATTGGTGTTGTTGTTGTTGTGGCTGCTGCTGCTGCTGCTGCCAGCGCCGACCGCGCCCCGTGTGAGCAGAGACCAGCGGTGGCCACTGGCGCTGCCGCTGCGGCTTTTGCAATCTGTGGGCAAAAATGTTGGATATAACAAATATTATTTCTGACTTCACGAAAGATATGAAAGGTGTGCGTTTGTGTGTGTGTACGAGTGTGTGTGTGTGCTGCATTTCAGCTGCGCTTTCAAAATTTATTCAATTTAAATTCAAGCCGAAAACTTGTCGAAATGTTTTAATTAATTTGCGCACACATGACAGCACATTATGCCCAGACCCGGCCACGCTCCTAAATGTTAGCCTCCCATGCCAGAACAGCTTGTAGCTAGCCATCTTGAGGTTGAGTGGCGCGGGCCACGCCCACATGCCTATGTAAGCACTCAACGCTTGAATCAGCAAAAATCTATAGCATACTTTTCAGCGCAACAAATATTATATTTATGGCAAATTTATTATAGCGAGTAGTGTGTATGTGTATGTTTTTTTGTGTATTATTTTTTATGTCGTGCGTGCATAACGTATCCATAAATAAAATCACGGCATTCAGTTTTAGATGACAGCCACACGTGCTCCATAACCTTAACTCTCATATATCTAGCCTGAACCCAGGCTCTTATTTATCTTTTTTGTTTGATTTGACCCGTACAGGTGCCAGCGAAATGCTGGTTGTTTATTTACAAAATATTCACAATCCGTGCGGTCGTTCCACACGCCTGATATTCGCATATCCGCACATTTGCAGAAATTGCGAAACACAGGCAGTTGATGTTAAAGTAAATGATTCCCAGTGCTATATGTGGAAACACACTGAAGCTTACAGATAAAACACAATTTATGTAAATTAAAACAGGATTTGACATAGTTGATTGTTTCACCGAACAGCCAATAAATATTAATATTGAAAAAAGAAATTATAAATAAAATGAACAGAGAATCTAGGGCACGAATCCGGACTCAACTGATATTAAACATAATTTCGTTTTAGTTTTGAAACAGTTATGAAAATTGACAGCGTTATTTATTAGGTATACCCGGAATCTTACATGCAAACATTTTCGGCAAAACAGAAAATCAGAAAAAAGTTGATTTTTATACTTATCGCATCCGATTAAACAAATACTTTTTGTGTTAAAAATATATATGTATATGTGTTTAAAAAATAGTTTATCGGACAAAAGCAGGCTCTCGAATGGAAAACTTTTTGTGAATCAATGTATCTTGACTAGACTTTATTTATTTATTTGTTTATTTATATATACAAAATCTAATCAGCATCAGACGAGTATATCATATAGTTCCCATCGGAATGGTAGGCGCTTGTAAAGCTAAATATTCTGATTTCTAAGAAATTTTCATCAAACTCGGCATTTATGAACTTCACTATTCTCACATATCTGCAATCCCTCCAAGGGTATCAAATCTTTGGCGCGCTTGACTTTCACATTAATATTAGATCTTTTGGAATTGCCGACAAAAAATTAAAAATTTGGTTTTCCAAATTTTAAAGAAAGAATAGACAAAATTTATTTTAGAAAATTATTGAAAAATGTATAGGCTGTATCAATTTAGGAGACAGGCCCTGATCAAAGTCGAATCGATTATAAAAATAGGTTTAGACCTGTTAAACGTTATATAAAATAAAGGCTAAAACGGGCACTCACTGAGGATTTGAAAGGTTTAAAAATAAAACTGTTTGTTATTAATGCCAACAAAAAAATGCATTACTATAATAGAATAATATTGTTTTGTTAATATTGTTTTTCCTAAGTATCTGTTGAATTTGAACAAAATTAACAAAGTTCTTGACTCTAATATGTTTCTGCAGCCTGCTTGTGTGCCAAAACATTTTCAGCTCATATGCAAAGTGCCGACTTGTAGCTATGTGGGGTTTGCTTGCTGGGCTTATGCCATAATTAAAGCTTTGCAATGCTGCATAAGACTATGCGATGCAGTTGCCATCCAATTATAGATGCCATAATAAAAGTAAGTCATACTTAAGTCAAATATAAATGTTGTCTTAGCTTGGGAATAATTTGTTATTTCAAGTCTCTGCTTTAAGGTTTAAAATGTGAATAATTGCACTCAAATTAGAAAATGTTGTGCTAACAAGAAATAACATTTTTTGTTTGTAAAAATGCAGATATTATTTATATCTATATATATTATAGCTCGTGCCTATTTCAACAATATTGAAGAGCGAAATGTGCTACAAATGTAATTTAATTTTTAAGTGCACATAAAAAGATAAATCCTGTTGGCAGCTGGCCGCTAGTTACTTATAGATACATGTGTCTGTGTGATATGTTAATACATATATATATATATATATATATTGTTATAAAACGTTACGCACCCAAATGAAATGTTTGTTTATCCGTGTGCAGCGAGACAACCGGAAGTCCTGGCACAATGATGGCGGGCAGGGTGCGCGACCGTAACAATGGCGGCGGCAATTTACGGCTGCCGCTGCGTGATTGCTGGCCGCTGCCTCCAACGCAGCTGGCTCCTCCGCTGCCGCCGCAACCGCCGGCGCTCTGCTGCTGGGCCCTGCAAAGAGAAAGAGAGAGAGAGAGAGGGGGGAGCGTAAATGCGAGTGAAATAATAAGTTAATGCAATTATTTATTGAAGGCAACTGAAGCAGCAGCAAGTAAACGCAATTACTTTGGGGGCAGTGAGTAGTAAGTAGAGAGAACATTCGCATATCCTCCCTTCCCCTTTATACCACTCAGCGCTGTTGGAATTTCATTTCCGTTACATTTGCATGATGCTGAGTGCGCGGGAAGAGTGGGGAGAGTGGGGAAAGTGGGGTATGCGGTTCTGTCAGCTGAGAATTACATTTGATTGTTAGCAGCAAAATGATTTTTCTTGCATTCGTCCCTCACGCCCATATGATACGCCCATGCTGCACGTTTGTATGCATAGCAAATGCGCAAAGCTGTCAGCGCCACGAGGCCTTCTGGTCCCACCCCCACACGCCCCTCGACGCTTTCCCAATTGAATGCTGTCACCCCTTTCACAAATTGCTCAACTTGACGTATGATTGAATTTCTGGCATTCGATGCTGCTGCTGCTGCCGTCGCTGCAGCTGTCGACGTCAGCAGCGCTGCCTGCCAAGTGTCAGCTGAGAGTGGTGTGTAATGCTGCTGCCACGCCTACAACGCCCACTGCCAACACATATACTCTTTGGCATGCCTGCAATTGTTTATACTGTTTACTTAAATTAAAATATGTTACATTAAGCTTGTCCATATGTTCGCCATAAGCAAAAAGAAGCATTTCCAATCGATTATATATATTCCTGATCAGGAATCATTGAGTTCACATATTCGTGTCTGTCAGTTTTTCTGTACGAATTCAGTACTGGATGTAGTATAACACAAGGCTATTTTACGATCTATTCCCAATTTGACCGATATCGAAAAACATCGATTTCCAGTCGATACTTATAATGCAGCGTAAAGTACAGAATACGCAAGACAACTTTATCTATTTTCCTCGAAATCGATAAATATCGATGTATTAAGATCTATCTATCTAACTATTAAGATATATTAGACCTAATTTTTCCTATTTTGAATTCCTCACCGCGTCTCTCCTACAACAAACCCTTTTAGTTTTTGCTCTACGCTCTCTGCTTCCCTCAATTTTACTCGCAAAAAAAGATGACATTTGGCAAAGGCAGCCGACAATCTCAGGACGCTTAAAATAAAGTCCTGCATATCCTGCAGACACACAGATGAGCTTGTGTGTAAGCATACAGAGCCCTTTATATATGTTGGCCGTATCAAAAGTTGGCAGCCAGCTCCCTGAGAAGCGAACACGAATTGTGCGCATTATTGATGATTGAGTACATCACAAAAAACCAACAAAAATAGAAAAATAGAAAAATCAAGTGTTTCTACACTAGTTGGGAGTGCCCGACTTAGAAATCCCCCTATTCTAGCTTTCTTCTGTGCATAAACATAAAAGGAAAAGATGTCCAAATAGTGAAATATTCTAGATTTTATACTTTCCTCTCCTATATTCCATATATTCTCGCATTCCATATTAAGATCTCTGAGACAGGGTCCCTAAAAAGATGTAGATATCGATTTTGATCGGGCTATTTATCGAAAGAAGGTTCAACATTTAAGCATACAGATCTTATAGGCAGACAGCCCGTTCGACTGGGCCGTTGATGCGGATAATGCCTGTCACATACATTTCCACAAGTCCAGTATACCCTTTTCGGGGTATAAAACGAAAAAAAACTTTGACGGCCACCCGCTGGCTCGAAGCATCTGCACGGCTTTAAGTGGCGCCCCAGTGCGGCGGCAGCTCTATTGCAAGCTCTTGTGCTGCATGCCCTTCCCCCCGCCCTCACCCTTGGCACTGCATAAAGTTACAGTCGCATTTTTTGTCCTGTTAGCAATTTATGTTCGTCCTTGTCACAGCAGCAGCGGAAACAAAAATGCCAAATAACTGCTGCAGAACACACACACACTGTCAGCACACACAACAAACAGCACACATAACAAACAGCACACACAACACATAATAAATAAATGGTATTGTTAAGAGAAATACCTAAGAGCCCAGCTTAAGCTTGGGCGGCTTTTGTTTATGGCCATATTATTTGGGTGCGGGCGTGGCAAAGGGTTCAAGTGCGTTAAGCGCAGTCTCCCATTACGCTCAATAAGTCAGGATCGAATAGAGTCCCCTCCCTAACCCTCCACACCCAGGGCACACTTAGACAAGCTGTTATGTGGCGGCAGCTGTGCCAACTTTTAGCTGCCAAAAAAGCTAGGTCGTAGCCAGGCTAAAAACTCGCTGAAACAAGCTAGTTTATTCATTACAAAATTTGAATACCATCTGCAAGTTTAAACAGAGAGAAAACTACGCTGCTCTTGAGTCTCGTCCACCTTTTTGATTTTTCAAATAATCCTATTTT